CTTAGGCAAGGGACCTATTGGCTCAAACTGCTTACCTGTGAGATAAGGGTGATCAGTAGTAGTGACTTTGAGAATGGATATGATGGTCTGTCAGCCATCAGCACCACAGGAAGGTACTCCAGGAGTGGTGATGCTTTGTTACTATTTTTATTCATTATTACCACCATCGGCTTTCTGGTCCTCATGGATCAGTCTTGACCCGGAAGCCAAAATTCATGCTTTATGTTATTTTTCTGAGTGTCTATCCACACAGAATCATTCAATCTTTATTTTAGATGGAAGTTCTTACTCAATGGGGAAATCCTTTCTTTCAGTCTCCATGTTATGAGACCACCACTGCTTAAATCCTCCCAGAAACTGTAAGCTCACCGCTTTCCAGGCTGTCCATCCTGTCTCAGGACCAGTTGCACATGTAACAGTGACTTCTTGCACCAAGTCCAGGCAGCTGGCTTCCCTCTAAAGGCAGGCTGTTCCTGTCTTCTCAAATGGCAGATCCTTTCTCTGGCCTCTTCTTCTCCGGGTTAAGGGTCCTCTCACCATGTTGATCACCTTTCTCTCGTCAGGCCAAGGTTATCAAGGTCCTGTATTGCAGTGCTCAGAGCTTGTGGGCTAGTCCAAGTTGACCTTGAAGGCAGTCAAGGGAGGACTCTGGGAGACCAGCTTCCAGGACTGGCAGGCATTCCTGGACTCATCTCAGTCTCAGGACTGGAGGCCCCCAACCCACATTACACTCAGAGTGGATGGGTCTTACCAGTGAGGGGTCGTGTGGTCTACAGGTGTGAGATCCTGCCTGAACTACCAGAACAGCATGGTCTTCAAGACCTCAGGGTGGACACTGTATCCTGTAAGAGGGTCTTTGACTGACTCCCAGGTACAGGACTCCTTAGCATATGATTCCTGATCACACGGTGTCAAGGTGAGATCTCTTCTGTGGGTTTTCTGAGAGCAAAGATACTGTCTTTCTGGATCACCATTTTTTATCCCCAGAGCCTGTCACTCTAGCCATTATCCCGAATAATATTTGTTCAGTGAATGAATGTTTGATTTGAGAAAATCCTGACTAGTGGAGAAACTAAGTCAAGAAGCAATTGCTGGAAAACCTCAGGACCTAATCAGCAACAGAGGTCTAAGACAGCTCCCAAGTCCCTCACAACCCAACCCAGGCCTCCCTCCTTAGCTGACCTGCAAAAGGCTGATGACAAGAAGTCCACGTTGACCTGAAGGCTCCACCACCCACAATTCCTAATAACTGACATGTGATCCTTTCATTAGTAATCCCAATCACGCTTACAGTGCTGGCAGGGACCGTTGCCAACATCTTCCATGTCAGTCAGGGCAGCAATGCCACACCTTGGTTTTTACCCCATGTCACAGACGAGGAAACCAGGATGGCCAGTGAAGCCACATGTCCACACCCACTCAGCTCCTCAATGGTCAGCCTGAGAGTCTAGGTGATTCCTCTGGCTCCAAGGCTTCTATTGCCCACTAGGTGCTCCTGCTGCTGGCTTCTGTGTCCAGAGATGCTTCTCTTTCCCCCAGAAGAGAACAGAGCTGTCAGAAAATGGAACCATAGTGTGGTTAGTATTACAGAGGTCAGGAGGGTCCCCTCTGACTGGGGTGTCCACTGGGGAAGGGGGAAGCCTGAGCTGCATGTTTCATCCATTTGTCTCTGAGAGTCTTAGAACGCAAAGGTAGTTTAGTCTCATGAAGACAGGTAGGGAAGAAGCATCTCCATTTCCGCCTTTCCTCCCCTCTAGTGGTAACCAGAGTTGAGAGTTGGAGACCTGCTACCATCACCACCGGGTAAGCACAGCATGGCGGAGCACTGCTGATGTGTGACAGCCCGCTGATGCTGGCAGGAGCGTGTGTGCTGGTTTCTGTGGGGTAACTGCTCCCACTGTGGCTGATTCTAGCTCTTCAGCAAGCAATCACTGACCGTGGACTTGGAAAAAATATGCTGTAGCACTGGTATATGGTATTTCCATGGCCCAGGCACAGTGCCTGCAGTTCCCCTCAAGTGCACGGGATAGTCACCTTTCCATTACTGTGACAAATGCCTTTTTTTTTTTCTGTAGCACTGGGCATGGAGCCCAGGGCCTTGCGCACATTAGCCAGGCACTCTACCACTGAGGTACATCCCCAACCTGGCTCCTGGTTACTGTAACGAAGTACATGAGATAATCAAGTTCAAATGAGAAAAGACTTACTTTGGCTCACAGTTTTGGAGGTTTCAGTCCATGGTCAGTTGGCCCAATTGCTGTTGGGCCATTATAGAGGGAGAGCAAGCTGCTTCACCTCATGGCCCCCGAGAAACAGAGTAAAAGAGACCAGTGTCCGACGGTCCTCTGAAGGGTATGTCCCCAGTGACCTAAGCGTCCCCCCTCAGGCCTCAGCCTTTACTTAAGGGTCCCACCACCATTCAGTAGCATCACACTGAGGACCAAGCCTTTAATGGGCCTTTGGGGAGCATTCCAGACTCAAACTACAGCACCACAGGTAGGAAGTGGGGAGTTTTGAGCATTACCTGTTAAAAATGTATAATTTATTGAATTGTAAGTTTATATTATTTAATTTTTAATAATGACTGTGTTTAACAGCTGGTTCACAAAATTCTTGAAAATTTCAGTCAGCCCGTAATAGTTAGGACATTTCACCTCCAGTGTACCATTCATTTCTTTTGAATTAGAATATTAACACGTATAATGCTTTTTCTTTAACTTGCTTCTTGCTTGTTCGTCCAACCATTCATTCAGTCAGTCAGTCACTACAGTGTTGTACACTGTGTTAGGGACCAGGGCCACTGCTGGTGGCCCTGGGAGGGGCCATATGTTTTGGATGGACCATATGTTTTGCCTCTGTTAGTTTAGGTCTGGTGAGGGACACAGTCCCTTACCAAGGTGACAGATAGACACCATCGGCAACAAAAATGCTCATTGTAATTAGAGCTTTATAGAAAGTAATAGGATGTCATGGAATGAACGCTGTGGGAGGTCAGGGTTGTGGTACATTAGGGTTCAATCAGGAAAGGTTTGTGCTGTGGAGGTGACATCGTCTGAGATCCAAGAGGTAAAAAGGGACAAGGCATCTGAAGCTCTTTGGGAAAAAGTTAGGAGCTGTTCCTGCAAACTTTCTAGATGTACACAACAATGCTGTACATTGTTCTTAGGAAAATCCATATGTAGCAAAAATGGAGGCTGCTCACCAGTTTCAGGATGGTAGTTTCCCTGGGAGGGAGGAAGGAGGGAAAGAGAAGGAGTTGGAGGCAGAGAAGGTCTTCACTTGGGATTTTCTTGAAGCCAAAGGAGAGAACAATCTGAGATAAACCAAACGTAACTGGTGTGAAGTTTTGTTGGCTCTTGTTGATGGGTGCAGGGTTGTTAGCAGTGTTGTTCTCTATCATCATTTCCAAATGCTTGAAATATTTTATGATTATTATTTCTTAAGAGTTATGGAAAAGAGGTTCTAGGCATGGAACCAGCCTAGCTTTTCAGAGTAGTGTGGCTGCAGCAATGTAAGGGCAAGGGGAGGTCAAGTTCAGCTGGACAAGTGGGGAGGGGTCTGGACTACAAGACTAGAAGGCTGCAACCACAGGTATGAATTTTATCATAGCACAGTGGATAAAATCTTGAGCTGCTGAGTGATAGTCTAATTTACAATTGCTCTGCAGCTTTAGGGACCAGTGGAGTGCTGAGAATGGTGTCAGGTAGGTGAGTTAGGAGTCTAGGCTTGTGAGGTGGTCCTGCTCCACCAAGTCCTCAGGAAACTGACCTTGATCCAGCTCATGTGTCCACGTTCATCACATTTACATTATATGTCAATCACACCTTGATCAAGGTGTGAAAAAAGAGAAAGAAGGGATGTGTCATTATGAAGCCAAGAGATGGACTGAAGGAAAAAGATGGATCTGGAAAAAAACAAGTAAAAATTCTAGAGTGAAAAACATTCTTTGGATGAAAGGAAGAAAGGAAAGACCTTAGGGATGGAGAAACTCTGGACTGGACACAGTCAAAGAGAGAATTAATGAATCAGAAAAAGTTTCAGAGGAGTTTTCCCAGAGATTGCCAGGAAAGACAATGAGAAACTATGAAAGGGTAGTTAAAAGAGGTGGAGGATAAAATAAGATATTCCCTTATGTATTTAGTAGAAATTTTACTGGAAAGCACTGGAAAAATTTATTAAGTAGCTGTACTCAAAAGGGTGAGAATTTCCAGAATTGAGGGCCATATGTCATCAGTTTGAAAGTTCTTATCACATACTGAATTCTGCTTCAGAACCACTGAACAAAGGGCAAGTGTTTGACTTGGCTATAGACAGATTATCCATGAAAGATCAATGTTAAACCAACAGTAGGTTGCTTGTGACCCCAGGACAAGTCTGATCACACTATCTTCAAAGTGCTGAAAGAAAATAAAAACTAGCCTAGACTTCCCTGCCATTCACTATGGTGAAATTAAGACATTTTTCCTGAAGAGAGGCCTGGGGAGAGGAGAAGTTCCCTCAAACACACATGTCGAGCTGTCCAGTGGCGGTCTGTCTCCCACAGATATGGTAGAGAGAGGAGGACTGGGCTCTTCTTTCATTGTGTAGCACAAGACTATGAAAAGTGGTGCTCATTGGTGTACTGCTGAGGATTCCATCAAGACAGAGGACACGGGGCTCCTATCCCTCTCCTCCTATCTCCCAGGAATTAAAAAACACCTTGAAGGGTTTTTGGGTTTTGTTTCACTTTGTTTTTGCAGTACTGGGAATTGAACCCAGGACGTTGTGCCACTTGAGCCACTCTCCCAGCCCTCTGGAAAGGTTTTTGTGTCCCTTCTAGTGTCTCTAGGAGAACGGGAGTGGGTGGAGGGTAGGTGGCAGGGACTCCTGACCCTACAATGGGGTCACTATAGGAAGCAGGGGGATGGGACCTGGCTCTGAGACGTGGGCCTTATAAGAACCCAGGTACATGAAAGCCCCTTCTGGAATGGCCCATTCTAGATTGTCTCTCTGTCTTCCAGATTGTGGACAAGAACAACCGCTACAAGTCCATAGATGGGTCAGATGAGACTAAGGCCAACTGGATGAGGTGAGTGCCACCCTGTGCCAATTCTTGGAGCCTTGCCCAGCCTCTGGAACTGGCCCCAGGAGTATGTTGGTCCTGTGGGGTCTCCAGGAGTACTATTTTCAGGTTTGGGGAGCATGTCCACCTTTGGGGTACCTTCCTGTTTTTACTGAAGACTCTGGACAAGGCCCTGTGGCCAGGCCAGTGAGCTGTAGAAGGCCCTAGAGGTCACACACCTGCCATTCATCCTGACTACCTGGGCCCCAGGCTCCTGGAGCAGTCCTGGGAGGAGAGTGTCCCTACTTGGCACTGTGTCCCCTTCTCACTGGGAAGACTCCTGCTGCTATGGTGGAGAGACACTGCAGGGTAGCTCCTGGCAGTTGTCCTGTGGTCCCCCTAGAAGAGGAGGCTCCTGTCAGAGTCCCCAGCTCCTTTGCTACAGAACTCGCTACTGGTGCTTTCAAGAGTGGTGTCACCCTAACCCAGTGTGACCAGAAGAGTCCTTAAAGGCCAGCCAGAGAGAGCAAGAAGCTGACCAAGGGTCATCTCCAGGTCCATGCTGAGTATGGGACCAGGGTCAGTGCTGTCCTATGTGCTGGGCCTGGTGAGGAATGTGATCAGACTGGCCTCATGGCCTACTGGTCTTGAGTCTGGGACCTGAGGCAGTGACTGAGGATTTGGATCTGGGCTGGGAGGAAAGGGAGGCCTCAGTGGCCAGACCCAGGGCCCCAGCAAAGGATGGATCCAGGGCCTTTGGGTGTCTGTGCTGTTCCATGAGCCATGGATGCTGGGGGCTGGTGGGTGGAGGGCAGAGCAGCAACAGGCTTCCTAAGAGAGAATTTGCTGTAGTTAAACACTGAGTGTTTCTGAGCCAGTGAGGAGTTGGTTAGAGGTGGGGAGTCATAGTAGGTCTTAGTGGACTCAGTGCCACCTATGTCCCATCAGAAGGGCTGGTCAGCTTTCCCAGAACACATAGGCTTTGTCCTTTCTCTTATTTGCTAGGGTAGCTGTTCTTATAACCACTAAACAGGTTTAGAATCAGAGACACCAGAGATGAGCAGACTCTTGCCTCATGGTGTGAGACAGACACCATGCCCCTGCCTCCTCCCAGCTGTTCCGTGAAAGTGGCTGACACTGTTCCCTGCCTTCTTCTCCCAACCCCTGGGGCCAGGTCAGCTCTGCCCATGCGTTCATCCCCATGTGCAGAGCACCTACTTCTGCTCACACCCTGGGCTGGTACCTGGGGTGGGTAAGTCCAGCCCTGTCCACCTTGCCCACACAGGCTCACACCTGCCACCACAGCGATGGCTCTCTCTAACATGGTTGTCAGACAGTATGCTGCAAGGGTCCAGGGGAAGAGGAGTGGGCCTGTGACATGGGCCTTTAAAGAGGCCAGGACTTTGGGGGCACTATGAGCAGGTGTGCCCCAGGCATTCAGGCTCTGTCCATGGGCAGTACAGACCAGACTCTGCTGGGCACTTTACCTCTGTCATTCTAGTTTGGTTCAGACAGTCAGGGAGGAGTGTGTCTGAGGTATCCTGGCATCAGACTTCTACACTGTCACTTTCAAGGTGCCAGGAGCTTTGGCTGGGAGAACTGACCTATTCTGCACTTCCTCCCACTCTGAGCTTTCGCCTGAGAGCAAGGCCTTCCCACAACCCCAAACCAACCCAGCCCCATCTGGCACCTCAGAGCTTCTGACTTAATCGGGCTGGGGATAAGCTAGGGGCACTGGGATTTTGCAAGGTGTCCATAGTGATTCTGATGTGCTGCTTGGGCTGATGAGAACCATTGCTCTATACTGGTCTTTGTGCCACAGTGCCCACTGTGGCCTGGAGTAGGTCGAGGTCTTGCCCAAAGTCATGCATTCAGTAGCAAAATAAGGATTGGAGCCTGTGGCTTTGGACTTCCTTACCAGGGTTCTCTCTTCTTGTGCACAAGGGGATTAGGCAGAGAGTATGATTCCCTGGGTCATGGGTGGGCACTAGTGGGGTGGGCTGTGCTCACACCATCTTACTAGCAGGTCCTAGTTCCTGCTCCCAGCCTTGTCTTGATCGAAGATGGTGCCTGGGTGGTCCCAGCTGGTGGGGCCTCAGCTGGCAAAGACTCAGGAGCAGGAGGGATGGGGTATGTGTACAGCTCCCATTTGGACAGCTCCTAATTTGCAGACACTCTTAATTGCACTGTCACAGCATAGGGGCTTGGGGATGATGTAATGGGTCAGTTTCTGAACAAACTAAGAGGTGGACCAAGAAGCGGGCAGCCTTCATGTTTTGGGCATTGTCCTTAGAGCCACTCTGTGCTAGGTGCTGGACGTGTGGTGGTTCTCAACCAGGGGCTGTTTTGTTCCCCTGGGGGTATTTGGCAATGATGAGATATTTTTGAGGGGCATAGCTTTGTGCGTGGGTGCTATTGGTTGGCATTGGGTAGCCAAGGATGCTGATAAACATTGTACTTCATAGGATACTCCCTTCTCCCCTGCACACAGTCTTCCAGCCCCAATGCCATAGTGGCATGATTGAGGCCTGTGTTAAATCCTCCTGGCATCCCTGGGAGGTAGCTCTGGAATGTTCACCCTAGTTTTATAGAAATCCCATGGTCCCTAAGGAAACTCAACCTGTAGTCTCAGGTCTGTGTGAATGCAAGGGAGGTAAGGCAGGGGGATCTTGGTGCCACTGACCTCTCACTGTGGTTTTAGAAGTAGTCAAAGGAGTGAATCAGGTTCCAGGTTTCCCTTGGAACCTTGATGTCCTCCCGAGGGTGGGCCTTTCAAATCTTGTAGTTCTAATTATAGGACAGGATGGGACAGAATCAGGACATGGAGAAATTGAGCTCCAAAGCCATAGTGGGTGGCAGGTCAGATGGAAGAGCCACAGTGCCACCTGCCTGGGGCCCCTAGGGGCTCTGTGGAGATGGAAGCCAAGGCCACTCCTGTGTCCTTCACAGTGGAACTTATGGCCCAGTGGACACTCATGAGCTGCTCAAATTCTACCAAAAAGCCACAGCAGTCACCTCAAAAGTTGTTGCAGGGTGCCTATTTTCCTGCATATGCACCCAGAAGTGGGGACTTGGGGCTTGGGGAAAGGGATGCAAACTACACGTGATGAAATAAGTGTTCTGTGCTCACACCACCAGCCAATACCACGGGCCACTGCAGCCCATTGTGAATGGTCTCTCTGTTTGAATACTCTTGCTTCAAGCCATTCATTCAGCTGTACGGCTCTGTGTAAATATCCGTAGAGAGCACCCATCTAATCGTCACCCAGTAAGGAAGGGGCCTTGGTTCCTTCTTAAGGCATTGAAGCTTGTCTATACATTTGCCTTGCCCTCCTTATAACCAGCCCCAAGAGGTTGGTGTAGTGGTTGTTCCCATTCTGGATGAGGAGAGTAAGGTGGGAAAGGTTAAATGAACTTGAACTGCCCTGGTGCTCACTGCTAGTGAAAAGTAAGGCAGGTCCTACCTGCGTGCAGTGGACTCTGAGTCCAGAGCCACTGTGTCTCTTCCCACCCTCGCTTCCGAGGAGCGGAGGGTAGGAGCTCTCGGTAGGAGGAGGGTGAGGTGGGGGCCAGGTCCCCCAAGTGCCTCCTAGCTCCCCAGCTGGGGGCCAGCAATTAGGAAGGAGGAGGACCAACTGCATGGACGGTCATTTACCCAATTATGCTTTGTGGGATATTCAACCCAAGGAACGTGACACCCCTGGCCGAGCGTAAGAGGAAGCCCAAGTTCTCCAAGGAGGAGCTGGACATTCTGGTCACGGAGGTGACCCGCCACGAAGCAGTTCTCTTTGGGAGGGAGACCATGCGGCTGTCCCATGCTGACAGGGACAAGATTTGGGAAGGCATAGCTCGGAAAATCACCTCCATCAGCCAGGTCCCCCGCTCCGTCAAGGACATTAAACACAGATGGGATGATATGAAGCGGAGAACCAAAGACAAGCTGGCCCTCATGCAACAGTCACTATCTGGCCCTGAAGCCAGGGGCCGGGCCCCCACCATCGTGCTCACTGCCCACGAGAGGGCCATTGAGTCCGCACTGCTCACAGCCCGGTCTGGACACAACTTCCCCAGGGCAGAAATGGATGGCACTGACAGCCCTTCTACCAGCTGTGAGTATCGCCAACCTGTCCACACACTGCATGCTCATGGGGGCCTCCTTATGACTGTCCCTTCTCTTCCTTGCTCCTAGTCCTCCCTGACTCACCCCGTTTCCATTCTCTACCCACCCCTCCTTCTGTTCTGTCTCCGCTCCTTTTTGTGCATTCATTCTAGAATAGTTACCAAGTGTACCAGGACCTGTGCTGGGAGCCAGGAGGACAGGGCTGTGTAGAAAATCCACATAGACCCTGCTCTTTGAGAGTTCCTGGGCTCATGGGATTAATAAACTTTAATTAAACAACTGCAAGAGCACATGTATAGTAGAGGGATGAGTCCGGGAAGTCCTGAGAGCAGAGCTAACTTCCAGCCCTAGACCTGGGTGGTCACACAGGCTGCACTGGGTTTCGTGCTGTACCACTGCATGCATTCAAACCTGGGGTGCATTTTCATTTTGCAGTGGCCTGCAAAGGATGTAGCAAGCCTTGCTGGAAGTGAGGAGTGGTAGAAATGGGTGCTGAGGAGCTGGGGAAGGCTGTCACTGAGCGAGTGACAGTAGGACTGAGATGTGGAGTCTGAGGAAGGGTTAACCAGGCCTGGTGTAAGGCGCAGAGCAGGGGAGGGGAGGGTGCACAGGCTGAGAACAGCATGTACAAGGTCCACATCAGGAAGGCTCTTGGCACGTTCCAGGAACAGCACAAGCCAGGGAAGCCCCAGCTTAGCCGGCAGGGGGAGGGGCACAGCCACAGCAGCCAAGTTCATGGGCCAGGCATGGAGAGATAGTTTCCTTTCTCTCTGCCTGCATCTGCTTGCTTTATTCCTGCACTGCTTTTTGTACACCTAATGTCTAATGTGCTGTGCTTCTCCTGCTTCTGCCTCTTTCTGCCTGCCTGAGGCTGCCTAAGCTCCTTCTTTTCCATCCCCACCCTCCC